CTCATTCACCAGTCAACTGCCAGTCTCCCTTGATGCAAGGGACCAGCGTCGCGGCGGGATCCATGGTGGCCTGGATATTGCACCTTCCTACTTTGCTCTCTAGTCTTGGCTTCCTAACTTTGATGCTTTAAAAGCTCCCGTCCCTCTTCCCTCTGGCCTGGTGTGAATGAACAAGATCCCTGCACCCACCTGGGCTGAGCCCAGGCCACGCACACAGCCCCATGCACACAGCCCACCATCTGCTGTCTACCCCTGGGCTCAAGTGGAAACTCTGAACTCCCCCACCCCAAAGGTCTGCATGCCCAGTGCCTCCACCCAAGGGGTCCAGATCACCATCAGGACCATCAACCACCCAAGGCCCACAGGCCAGTGGCTGGCAGCCTGGGATCACCCTGACCCATCGGGTCAGATGAGACACAGGGTTCGGGGATCAGGGTGCCAGGGCGGGAATTGGAACCGCCTTCAGTCCAGCCTGTCTCATCCTGTAGCCTCAGACATTAACTATGAAGGTGCACACTAGGCTGGATCCCCTACTGGTGGCAGTAGTCATTATTACTGGAGCCCAGATTTCCCCACCCCAACCGCAGGGTGAGGGGTGAGGGAGTGAGCTCAGGGTAGGGGTGCACTCAGAGTGAAGGGGATCCCATTGTGAGGAGGTATAGGTTGAGGAGAGTGGGGCCCGCTCAGAGTGGAACTGACCTGGCTGAGAGATGAGGGGGACAGTTTCAGGATGTTGGGTGTCCTGTGCTGAGGCATGAGGGGAAAGCTTGTGGGTGTAGGGGCCATAGGTTAGGACCTAGCAGGACGGAGTGTCAGGGCAGGGACCTCAGTGTGAGACGAAGAAGCCCTGTCTTCAAGTTCTGGTGGGAGACTGGGCCGGGCCAGGGGTGGGAGGGTAGTAACAGGGAGGGGTAGGTGAGCAGGGGAAGTGGGGCTGGCGGGGTGTGGCCTGGTCCAGGACAGTTGTGGTCCTAGTTCAGTGCCAGGACCCAGTCGGTGGCGGGGTGAAGGCTCTGAGGATGGAGACCTGGCGGGACGAGCAGGAGGGGCCCCACCTGGCTCCTCCCGGCCCCAGCGGCCAGGTCCGGTAAAGCAGGAGACCCACCCGAGCAGTTTGCGCTGCAGGCGGGAGGAGGAGGGGGGCGCACGCGCAGACGCACATTCGCGCGGACGCCGGAACCCGCCCAGAACGCGTGGAAGCTGGCGGCAGCTGGTTGCTCCTGGACCAGCTCCTGGAAGAGGAACACGGCCTGGGGTCTGGGCCGCCGCTTGCACGCGGCTCGGCTGCCGCTGCCGGGCAGTTAAGGGGGCGCTGGTGG